TTCTGTTAAATTTTGCTAGTCTTACTGGAGTGAGATGATATCTCATGGTTGTCTTGATTTGCATCTCTCCCAGGGCTAGGGATTTTGAACATTTCTTCATGTTCTTGTAGGTTTTCAGAGGCTGTAAATATCACACAGAAAGATACTGCCTGTCTTTTTCCTGCAGAGCAGGTAGTGGATTCGGACAGTCTCGCTTTGCATTAACCACACACTTCCTTAACCTACTAGGCCACCTGCCTCTCATAAGTTTATTAGTTTTTTGAAAAACCAAGGTTTGGCTGTCTTCATGTCTTAGTTTCATGAATTTCTACTCTCAGTTTTCCCCCCTGTATTCTTTGGGTGTACTATGTTATAATTTTCTTACTTTTAAAATGGTTGCTCACTTAAATTTTGCCTTTTCTCCTTAATAAATTCATTTAAACCCTATAATATGGACTTAGCTATAGTCACAATGTTTAAAAATATTAAAATAATATAAAACATAATATTGTTGTCATAATTTAATTCAAAATGTCTGTTAATTATGAGTCAAGTGTATTTCTTAATTTTACAAAGTATAAATTCTCTAAGTCTTGTCATTATCTTCTAGCTTACTAGAAATATGGTTAGAAAAAAGATATCATATGATCATAATGGATATTTGTTTAAACATATCTCATTATTCCACCATGGTTGATTTCTTTAATGTTCCTAATGTACTTAGTGTATCATATTCTGACCTTCTTGAAGTCACCTGTATATATGAAAATTAGTTAAGCCTGTTAATTGAATTGAGATTTTTCTGAATTTTTTATTTTTTTTCTGAAATTTATTTCTGAAATACGTTGATTAAATCTCCCACTTATTGCAAATTTGTCTATTTCCCCTAGCAGTTCTGCCAACTTTTGCTTTGCAAAACATATGAAATCTTGTTTGTGAGGACATTTATCAAGGCTCCCACCTTAGCAGGCTATACAGACTGTAACTTTTTACCCATAGAAAAAGGTAGCTGTCAAAAACACTATTCAAACTAATGAGTAAACACTCTCTGATTGTCATCAAGTACACGTTTCGGAATTTTGTCTATCTTTTCAGGTTGTCATCATAGAAATTTGTTCAAATTAGTGCTCTATTAACTGAAAGTAGAAGTGCTAATTCTGAAACTTTAAAACAATGTCTTCAGTTACAGAATCCCTTCTGAAATGAGTTTATGTGGAAGCTAAGTATACACAGAAAACACAGAGACATCAAGCATAAAATTTCATGCAGCTCACCAAGAATTCTGGTGTTTATTTATTCATATATGTCTGTTGTTGTGCACCACAGAAAAGGAACTGACCCATAGCCCATCCTCTAATGGGTTTTCAAAGGCAGTTAATTGCATGAGAGGAGACTGCCATCTTCATGTGGAGCGGCTGGTGGCCTCAAACTGGGTGCCTTCAGAATTGCAGCACTGCTTTTATATATTTTCTGAGACTGCAAGATTGAAGGCCACTTTTTCCATATATCAGGTGCTGTAAACTCTTTAGAGTCTCTTAAGATGCAGCCCACAGATCTTAGGCCAACACAAACATGCTCCATAAAGCTGACTGATAGTGACCTCTATTTTCTTCTCTTTCAATTTTACAGATAGATTAGTCAACTTGTATTTCCTGGTTTCTATGTATTTTAGGTATCCCTCAAGAATCTCATTATTAGTAAATCTTAAATTGACTCCTATAAATAAAGTGAAATGCCACAGATTTCCTTATCTGAGAGGGGAAGCAGGTACGGCCACTTTGTCCATGTTTTAAATTAAAGTGACCTTGGCTTTTATTTCATACTTATTCTCAGGAAACATTTCTTTCTCCACTCTCTCGAGTTCCCACAGAGAACTTTGACTGGTATAGACTTCCTGAGCTATTAGGTAAAAGCAAGTTACCTATTTTGTTGCATTAAAAGAAGGAGCCACGATGATTACTTGAGACCCTTTCCCTCTTGGGGTCTAACTGCAGACATGAAGTGCTTTGGTGGTATAGTAGGCCATGTGTTGTATGTGAACCAAAAGACCAGATGTCTCTTTCAGTTCAAATCCTCCAGTGGATCAAGGGGATAAATATAGGCAATCTTCTCCTACTAAGATTCACTGTCTTGAAAATCCAATAGAGGGTTGGTATAAGTCAGAATTGACCAATGCTAGTAAATGAGATCTGCTAGGATATTATATTCAGTTTAAAAACCATAAAATCATTTTTCATTTTTACTTTTTAAAATTTTATATTGGCTTGCTCACAAAGTTCATATACATCGTGTTTCACACTATTCTTCATTCATATTGTGTGTCATAAAATCGTTCCCATGCTTTATGTTTTATAAAATCAATCACCATTGGACCTTGTCTGTAATTACATTGTCTTTTCAGGTCTCCTCTGGATCCTTCCAATTTCCTTCACCTCCTCTCTCCTTCCACCAAACTGTGCAACCTTGTGCTTTTATCCCTACTTATCCTCACCCCTCCACTTCCACTGAGTGAACTAACTCTGTCTCATTAGGACAAATACTGCATAAGACCATTATTATAAAAGTAGAAGGCTAACTAGTCAATTGAAGGATGATGATGATGTAAGAAAATAAAGCAAAGAAAGTAGTAGAGTAAGGGAAAACACAGGTCCAAAAGAAGACACTTCATCCAGAAGGTAAGAGTTGAGCAAATACTTGATGGAGGTGAGGGACTGTACCAAGAGGATATTTTGGGGAGAGAATTCCAGGCTGAGGGTCAGCTGAGCAGAAGTCCTATGGAAATGTCTACCAGCATGCTTAATAAACACCAAGGCAGCTAGTGGGACTGGAGTAGAATGAACCAAGGACATGAGTGGTTAGAATGGCTCTGGGGATCAGAATTTGTAGGACTTTCTTAAATGTTATCTTTTGTTCTGTTTAAAATTAAAAGTCAATTAAGAATTTGGAGAAGATAATACATAATATGCCCCAGGTTTTAAAAGGGTTAGTCTGGCTGGTGGAGAACAAAGGTGGAGGCAAAGAGATCTGATCTGATGCTACTGCCACCTGTCACCTGGCAGATGATTATGGCTTTGACTTGACTGGGAGCTGCGGAGGTCTGAGTTGTAATTTGCTATTGTGTTAACTCTGATTTATGATAACTCTTGTACAGAACTTCACTACTCTGTAGGATTAGTGAAATAGGGGAGACCCTCAACAAGATGAATTGACACAATGATGAGAGCAATGGACTCAAGTGTATCGATGGCGCAGAATTGGACAGCGTTCAGATCTGTTGTTCACAGAGTTACTATGAGTAATACTCAACTCTGACAACAGATGACAACAAACAACAGCAACCCTGGTGAACAGCGTTAAGACAGGCTTTGAGGGAGGAGTGGCATCCATTTCCTAATCAACATGCCTCTGGAAACTTGATAAACTTAGAGAAATGACAGTAGTTATAAAACAGGGTTCAGGTTTTTTGTTCATAGGGTCGCTATGAGTCATGCTTGACTCGATGGCACTTAACAACAACTAGTAAAGCTATTCTTATTTGCCCTTCTGCCAATGCTAAAATAACTAGATCTCTCAGGCAGTAATACCAGGAGGTCTGGGTGTGGTCAACACTGCTGCTGATTGAGGGAGTAAATTTAATTTCAAAGTTCAGAACTTTGAAATTTTTGAAATATTTTCATGACTCACCTCAATTTCAGGTCTGTTGTTGTGTACCATCAAGTCAGAACTAACCCATATCTGACCCTCTAGTGGCTTGTCAGAGGCAATAAATTGCATGGGAGGAGACTGGGTATTTTTCCTGCAGAGCTGCTGGAGGATTTTACGACATACCTTTGCTTTGGGAGCACAATTCATTACTACTGAGCCACCAGAGGTCTCTATCCCATATCTAGCAATCATTAATGAGGCTACATTTCAAAGGCTATCTGCTTGACTTCTGAATGTCTGTCTCAGAGGGGCCAAGACATAGGAAGGAAAGAACAGTTTGCTAAATAATTTACATAGCCTCACCAAAGTTCTTATAAGAACTTAACAATACCGGGCCAATATTGGCATTTGTCCAGAACTCAAGATTCAAAAGTCCAGAATCATAGTTCTTCTGACCACTAAGAGGAGAAGAAAATGTAAAAAAAAAATAAATAAAAATAAAAAATTAAAAAATGTCCTGAAAAAAAAAAAGTTACTCCTTCCTTAAGAGCAAAAGGAAGCATCTTATTTACCAATCCCCAAAACCTTTCACAGTCCTTTAACAGCAGTTGGCTGTGAAAGCTGGACTTTCAGGGCTCCCATTAAAGAAACTGAAATGATCCTTCCTATTGTCAAATGGAAACTCTTCTTGCCCGTGATCCTAAGTATCAACCCTTGAAAGGGAAGGTTCTTCATTTACATGCTTTGATATCTCCCCTTCTTTAAAGAATATGGAAATAGTAATGAAAGTGATATATTTTTAGCCCAGATCTCTTTCAATCAGAATATTACAAACAGAGAATATAAATTGATATGCACATATTTTAAGTCTTACCATTAATTTGACCTCTAACATCATTATGACTAATCAGTTCGATTTCTAAGAGGAGAGTTAAAATAGGTTCAAGTTCCTGCAACCATAAAACAACATTCAAGAGGAAAAGAGATCTTTCAATAATTTGTGAAAAATATTCTGAACCACTTAAAGTCAAGATTGTGCTAATTAACAATATTTTGCAGTTAACAGTATATATGAATTTTCAGTCATTGACTCTTCTTCAAATTGTGTGTGCAAAAAAGAAACTCTCAATTTCAATGGCAATGTGGCATTACTTTATATGGACTCATAGGTGATAGGAAATATAAATAAGTACCTGGAATTACCCCAGTCAGGACCTAGGCCTGACAATGATCCTCTCGTTTCAGTTGCATATTTGTAAACCACCAGCAGGCACTGTTTACAAAGTTCAACAAGACGCTGGCAACACTGGAGCTGCAAAGGAGACACCACCTCCGGGCTTTTGCTGAATATACTCTCCCAAGAGGATCTGTTGGCATGGAAACAGACATGACCTCATATTTGTGTTGAAAATGGCAGCCAGTTCTATCACTTAGTTAGCAACAAACCAACAAGGGAAAGTAGAAATGGCTTTATGCATTTGAAATTAATTGTGAATGGTTGAAAGGTACATGATTAATGCAGATTGGGAAATTTTTATATTAAAAAAACCACATGTAATTTATCTATTATTTGTTTTTAAAAAACCTTTAATGATGCCAACTGTGAATAGCTAAAAGAATAGATTTCAAATACATTCTAAAACATGGCGATACTCTAAAACATATTTACTTTAAAATGAGCTCTCTTTGTCATGAGTTAGGAATCATAAGAATGTAAATTTTCTAGTAAATTATATTTAGCTTGTATCAGTAATAATCCTATAAAAATAACGGGAAAGTTGCTGCAACTTAATTTGTGGCTTCACTGGTTTAGAGGAATTTACATCAACCTGTTAAGTTTGACCATCTATTTTAAAACACTTTAAGATAATTAAGCCTATGATATTTATAGAGTGCATGGTTTATTATACACTACAAATCATGCTCCAGAAAAACAAAAACAATGTTCTTTAGTCTAAGCTGTAGCACATTTTTCTCTCTCTATCCTTTTATTTCTTTCTAAATACAAATGTGTATATGTGTGTATCATTAAAATGTGAATATATTTTATATCTATATATCTACATACATACATATGTGTGTGTGTATGTGTGGTAGTACATTCTCTCTATATATAGACTGATAATAAAAACATTTATAAATATATTTACACTCATGGACCACATCAAGAAGTTCATCACCACCTTTATCACAGCCACAAGAAATAAAGACACACACACTAGAAAGACTTATTTCCTAAATATAAATGAAGCTCATTTTAACCCTCAAGGGGTAAGACTAGTTTAAGACTTGGTGATGGTTCAAGTTTCATTTTATATAAACCAAGGCTCTCAATCTTCAGAGAGAAAAGAGTAGATTTTGAGAAATTAAAAAGATTAAGAAAAATACTTGCATAAAGAAATATAATTCCCAAGGGGAAATTTAAAGTCTTAATTTTTAATCTTCTATGGGATATTTAATAGCTTTGGAATTTTTGTCAAAACTTTAGAAACCCAGGCAGGAATTATTTTTAGGAAGGCTACTATTTATTCTGAAAAGACAGCATGTAATCAGTGAATAAAAAGCTTTTCTTGAACAGAATAATGGAAAAATGAGTAGACTGGAAAAAAAAGGAAAGAAATTACATATTATTGTGTGTTTGAGTATGTGTACCTAGAGAGTATTATAATTACCACAACATGACTTCTAACACACTCTTTAGGCAGCTGTGTTCAGAAGGCAAAATTCACCTATGTATAAGTACACACAGAGAATGTCATGTGCTGACTTTCTGCCTAGCACATTTTCTCATCTCTCCACAGAGATTTTGACTATCTACAAAAGACTATTTCCATCCCCCTTAGTTTGGATACATTTACTTTATGTTTTAGAATCTTTATTAGCTATGAATATCTACTATGAGGTCACAAAGATCAAGGTACTATCAAAACAATGAATAAGGACGACAGAAGAATTGAAGCCTTTTAGTCATGGTGTTGGAGAAGAGTGCGGATTATCCCTCGAACGACCAAAAGAACAGATAATATCATAAAGAAGATGTGACCAAAGTGCTCTTCGTAGGCAAAGATGATGAAGCTTCATCTCACATACATGTTGCTAGGAGAGATGATTCCTTGGAAAGGGACATCATGCTTGGAAAGGTGGAGGGACAGCAAAGGAGATAAGAGCCTCAACTACCTGGGTCGACACAGTGATTGCAGTAATGAGCCTGAGCATGTCAGATTGTGAGAATTACACAGGATAGGAAGAGGGTCAGATCTGCGGTTCATAGGGTTGCTATGAGTCATACTTGACTCGATATTACCTAACAACAACATCAGGTCACTGGCACTTGGTAATTTCTCTTTATTTAATTTGTAGAATAACTACAGAAAAAACCAAATGCTACAATAAAAGAAAGAGAAAATTGCTTCTTTTATCATACTTTAACTTAATAAAAATGGAGTTCTGGTAGCCTAGTGGTAAGGTGCTGCACTGTCACACTAAAGTCGGGTGGTTCAAACCTACCAGCAGGTCTGCAGAACAGGTAGGAGCAGTCTCTTCTGATGCAATTTACTGCCTTTTGAAAACTCACTGGTGGGTTAGCTATGAGTCAGCTTTGACTTGGCAGTACACACAACAACAATTCAATACACCTTTCTGAACTCTGGCACGCTTGTGGCATAGTCCATAGGCAGTTGCACCTCTCTAGTGGCTTAGATCGACAAGGGCTCTGAGGGATTAAGATGGGCAATCTCCTTTTAGGCAACTGACAGTCTCAGAAAACCAATGGAGGGGCAGCTACTCTTCTGTTCTGAGACAAAGGCAGTAAGTAAGTGTTACATGGGTTATAAAATAGCTGGCTTGGACTTTTTGTTTTCTCATCATTTCTTAAATATTTAAAATAAATTTATGAATCAAGATCCTAAAGAAGAATTGCATTGGGAAAATCTGCTATCAGAAACCTCTCCAGAGTACAATGATGTCAGTCTAGAGACTAAAGTGTGTCTCATCCAGGCCATGGTCTTCGCGATGACTTCCTATGCGTCAGAGAGCTGGACAATGACTAAAGATGACAAAAGAAGAATTAATGTCTTTGAACTGTGGTGCTGGTGAAGAGTCTTAAACATACAATGGACCACCAAAACAACACATAAGTCTGTCATGGAGAGGGTGAAATCAAGTTTCTCCTTGGAGGCTAGGATTTGAAGCTTTGTCTCACATACTTTGTGCATGTGGTAGGTGGGACCAGTTCTTGGAGAAAGTCATCATGCTCAGAGGAATAGAGTGACAGCTCAGGAGAGGAAGAAATTATATGAGAGAGACTGATACAGTAACTGGGGCAATGGTGGTTGGTGTGTCAGAATCTGACTCAGGACAGGGCAGACTTCAGAGCTGCTGAACATAGATAGGATTGCTATGGGTCACAACATCACACAACAACATGCTCACTACCACTGGTCAAAGACTACCTTCTACTTGAATAATCCATATCTAAGAGTCAGCATACCCAAAATCCTAAAGCAAAAAGAAAATGAGAAGGACCTGCTTTGTTTGGAGCTAGGTCAAGGTCACCTCCTTCTAACAAGTAAGAGTATTCTTCAAACTGAATCTATTGGGTTTGTTTCCCACCTCTCATGTGCCATCTAGCATAGCTAAATGGATAATAAATGCCTCTACATTATTACAGTATCTTTAGTTACAAACTACCAACACAAAAGAGGACTAGTGAAGGGACATAAAAATAGTGACAAATACTAGTGGCTTCAGCAGAAATATATTGTTTTCTCTGCTTACATTATAAATCTAACTTCCAGTGAAAAAGGAAAACCAAAATACATGAGCTTGAAATATTCAGAAAAATAGAAATTTAAATTACAAGGTAAAAGGTAAGATAGAGCAATGAATACCTCTAACAACAAAGAAGCTATTAAAGAAATCTAGAATCTTGAAAAGCCTCATATTATCCTGTAATCCTGTATTTTTCACCTACTTTCTCATAAACATTTAATAAGATAGTTATCTACAGAGAAAAACAATCTCACTCCTTTGTCCTTCTTTACCACTGAGGGTAAAGTAGCCAAAAGGAAAACAGAGGTAAAAATATTCTGAGTCAAAAACCAATGAAATAAAACTAAGGACTATTGAGCTGGTTAATACTAATGACAATACATTCAACTGATGATTATATTAGAACAGTGGCATTTACATGACTTGAAGTAGTCTATATGTTTGCATACATTTTCAAGTAGGCATAATTCCCTCTAGGAGAAGACTGCTGCATGAGAATACTTCTTAAAAGTTCTTGTTGCCCTGAAGAAACTTCAAAGTAGGAGAGATAAAAAATAAAACCAAAGCTTTCACACAACATAATTCCACCAGGAAACATTTTTTCTTATTTGGGATTACATATCAAGGTTTTGAGTACATACAGAATTTTCCAAATTATACATTCCTCCTGCCTCCTTTTTACCCAGAAAATTTCTATTCTTTTTTTTTTAAACTATTCTTCTTTCAAACCTCAGTTTATTGATTATTTCCCATGAGGAGAAATGTGGCATCAGGATTAGAGGTAGACTTATCAAAAACCCGTGTTATGCAGATGACACAACCCTGCTTGCTGAAACTGAGGAGGACCTGAAATGCTTGCTGTAGAAGGTCAAGGACTGCAAGCTTTAATATAGATTGAAGCTCAATATCAAGAAAACAAAGATTCTCACCACTTGGACGCTTAGCAGCATTATGATAGATGGTAAAGAGACAGAGATTGTTAACAGCTTCAGTTTGCTTGGCTCTACAATCAACACTCTTGGTACCAAAAGCCAGGAAATCAAAAGACAAATTGCACTGAGAAAGGTGGCTGTCAGAGACTTCTATAAAGTACTGAAGAGCAACGATGTAAGTCTGGAAACTAAAGTTCACCTGATACAGGCCATGATCTTTGCAATTACTTGTGATGCATCGGAAAGCTGGACAATGACTAGGGATGACAGGAGAATTGATGTCTTTGAATTGATGCTGGAGAAGAGTACTGAATATATCATGGACTGCTAAGAAAACAAGTTCATCCTGGAGAGGGTGAAGTCAGACTGATCCTTGCAGGTAAGGATTCTGAACTTCATCTGACACTTTGAACATGTTGCAAGGTGGGATCAGTCCTTGGAGAGGGATGTCATGCTTGGGAGGGTGGAGGGACAGCACAAGAGAAGAGGACCCTTGATGAGATGGATTGATTCAGTAATTGGGGTAATAGGAGTAGGTGTATTAGAGACAGTAAGATTGGCACAGGATAGAACAGCATTTAGGGCTGTTGTACATAGGGTCGCTATGAGTGGTAGGCGACTCAATGGCACATAATAACTGCCACCATCACTACCGTTCTTGAGCC